CACTGTACTAATAGTCAGGAGTACAAAGAGAAAACATAAGTCTTGCTCTTAAGTTGGTTTAAATTTAATGGGGAGAAGACTAAAACATAAAAAATATGATACAAGAGAGAGTAAGATGAGTATAAAAGAGATATTTAGTCAAAGAGTTAAGAAAAATTTGAAGAGGGAGATAAAAGAAACTAATTATATAGGATGTTTAATAAACTGCAAAAGGAGAAAAGGGAAACGCCAATGTGGATCGTAAGGGAAGCCTTCAATGTGAGACTTGAGCTGTGCCCTGGGGCATCCTAGTGTAAAATAAAGATACAGTATTATAACAATGACTCACATTTATATAGCACTTTGAAGTTTACATGACATCTTTCTTTAGCATGGTCATGTGAAGAATGATGTATATATTTTGTTCTCCCCATTTTGTAGTCAGGAAATAAAGTTTTTAAGAGGTTCCATGACAGGGCTACACAGTTAATGTCAGAATCAAAATTCAAAACCAGGTCTCCTGACTTTAAGTACAGACCTCTTGCTCTTATTCCTTAAGTAGAAAAGAAGGAGTACTATGGCATTTTAATTTGAACTTGAGCAAAGGCATGAAATACTAGTATAACATGAAAGAGGATTTATGTTACAGAGTTAGGGTAAAATAAGATTAGGAAGAATATTATACCTTACAGTTCCTTCAGACACATTTGGCACAGAAAGTGTCACATTGAGAGAGATCTGGCACTGGCCTCGTAAAATAGACATCATCCTTAGGGCTTCCACTTCACTTCTGGGAGCATTCACTGAGGCACAGCCCAAGTACGTAAGTTTGCTGAAGACCACACTGTCCTCATCTGCCACTGGTGTAAAGGGACTGGACTCTTCAGAATCTGAACAAAAGAAGGAAATAAGTCTCTGGTCAGTTTTCACATTTTGTTGGTCAGAATATATTCTGTGCAAAAAAATCTATAAGCAAAGTTTAGGTTCTGAAACTGTTAAGTGTTAAGGAGAACATGTGATGCAATCTTAGAAAGTAAGACCAATGGAAGCCAACAAACCACTTGGCATGAGTTACTAATTTTTAACATAGACTTATTTTAGGAATTGCTTATCACTTGCACTCTGATTCTAAAATGTGAAGCAAGGCCTGAGGTGCAGTTAAAATTCATAAAACTGTCTTCTTGTTTTTATTTCACAGTTTTTATTCAGATTAATTCAATATTATGTGGTAAGCTTCATGAGGTCAAGATCTCATCTTATCCAAATAATATATCTCCCCCAGCATCTTGCACAGAGACCTGTATCTTTCCTCCCTTTTACTACTAATTTCTCAGAAAACACTGCCTCCTCTTCTTGCCTTCCATTTTCCTCTCTTTTCACTCACTTCTCATACCTTTCCAATAAGGCTTGAGATCTCACTTAAATAAAACGGATCTCTTTCCAGTTACCAGTACTTCATAGTATGACAAATCTCACGCTCTTTTATCAGTCCTCATCTTTTTGGACCTTTCCATGTTTACCTTCTTCTCTTCATAGATTCTTTCCCTATTCTGGATTTTTATGACAGTGCTCTCTTAGATTTCCTCTTATATGTCTGACCATCCCATCTCAGTGTCATTTGCTGACTCATCAACCATGTCATGTCTACTCACTGCTGAGGATCTCTCTTGGGGCCTATTTTCTTTTCTTTCTACATTCTTTCTTTCTTTCTTTCTTTTGCTAGGCAATGGGGTTAAGTGACTTGCCCAGGGTCACACAGCTAGTGAGTGTTATGTGTCTGAAGCCTGGATTTGAACTCAGGTCCTCCTGACTCCAGGGCCGGTGCTCTATCCACTGTGCCACCTAGCTGCCTCCATACTTTCTTTTGGTGACCACATTAGCTACTATGGGATTAATTACTATCTCTGTTCAAATGACCCTTAGCTTTTAAAGCTTTTACAATTTGGGCCTAATCTACTTTACCAGTCACAATGTTCATGAATCCTTTTCCCATCCTCTATGATCAAGTCAAGCTGGCCTTCTTTCTGTTTCTCAACATGGCACTCCATCCCTGGTCTCTGCGCCTTGGCACTGCCTCTCCCTCATACTTAGAAAGACCTCCTCTTTCTCCTGGTTTCTACTTCACAGAAACCCTCACTTCCTTCAAAACTTGGGTTAAACGTCATTTTCTACATGATGATTTTTCTGAGCCTCCCCGTTGGCCAGTGCTCTCTTCCTGAAATTACTTTGTCTTTATTTTTGTATCTATCCAATATAGAATATATACTATATGTATGGATGCACATGTACACACATGTATACACACGCGCGCACAAACGCTGTCTCCCTCAATAGAATATGTTTATAAGCAGGGACTGTTTCAGTGTTGTCTTTGTACCCCCAGGCATAGTATAGTGCCTAGCATACAGCAGGTGCTTACTAAATGCTTACTGATTAACTGATTGATGGTTGACAGATCTATATGTTGGGTGCTAATGTCCTTGAACTCCAGTCCCATATTACTAACTGCCTACAAGAAATTTTGAACTGGATGTCCCACAGGCATCTCAAACACTAACATGTCTTAAACAGAACTAATCATCTTTTCCATCAAACCTATTCTTCCAAGCTTTTTCATTTTGACCATCTTTTCAGTTCCTTCTCCCTTATTCCATATGTCCAAATAGTTGCCAAATCTTGATGATTCTTCCTCTAGTCTCAGTCTCTCTTGTATTTGTCACTTTTTCTCTACTCACAGAGGTAACACTCCTTTTCAGGCCTTAATCACCTCTCACTGAGATTACTGCAGCACTTCAAATTATTTCCCTATTTCATAGCTGCCCTCTCTCAAATCTATCCTTCCACACATTTGCCAATGTGACTTTGCTAAAGCAGAAGCCTAGAAAATCTCTGCTCAACTTAATAAACTCTAATGGTTCCTTACTACCCTTGGAGTCAAATATAGATTCCTCTTTTTGGTTTTCAAAGCCCTTTACAAACTTGATCTTACCTCCCTTTCCGGCCTTATTATACCTTAAAGCCTAAAACTGCATTAAGACTTTTGAGATACCCTGTATATTATTTTCCTTCATGTAATCTACAGTCAATTCAAATTGACCTATCTTTTATTACTCACAAAAAATTTCTGTGTCTTTGCACAGGCTGTCATCCATTTATGGAATATATTCCCACCTCATTCACATCTCAAAATTCCTACTTTCCTTCAAGTACTATCTTCTACATGAAATCTTTCCTTATTTCTCAAGGTACAACTGCTCCCCTTCCTCTATCAAATTATTTATTTATTTATTTTGCATATACACACATTTTTCCTGATAAAATGTAAGCTGTTTGAGGGCACAAATTTTATTTTTTTCTCTGTATCCCCAGTGTCTGGTATATAGTAGATATTATAAAATGCTTGTGGACTGGCTATAGTACAAACCAGATTTCTGTTGAATGTATAACTTTTCATCATCAAAAACTGCAAACTACTACAGTAGATATGAATCCATGAAACTTCTGTCTCCTCTGAATTATATACGTGCTTTACTTCTTGAGGGAAGCTTTTCACATTCCTTTCCTACCTAATAGATTTCCATAGTTAAATTCTTTGTCTAGGTCCTGGTCACTTTAAATCTGGACTATCATCGAATCTTTTTTTAATCACTATTCTATCTTCCTTCAATTATGTCACAAAAATGTCACTTTTCTTACCCCTCACCTCTGCCATTAACTACCTTTCCTCACCCACAGATGGTTCCTCTTTGATTTCCCTATTAGTCAGGACAACAACTGTGTTTTAATCATCTTCATATCTTCCATAGCCCTTTCCAAAGAAAAATGATAGTTTTTAAGTGCCTTTGTAAAAAGCACATTGGTGGTTGATAGCTAGGGAGGCCATGGAGTTTAGATAAGACATTAATACAGATAGTTATAAAATTAAGTTATTTTAGGACTAATGGGGAAAAAAACAAAAAAAAACTACTGACTGAGATCTGTGGAGATTTAATTTGAATAAGCCTTCAAGAACTCAACTCAATTCAACACGCATTCATTAAATACCTACAATATGCAAGGCACTGTGCTTAGCCATGAGCATAAGAAGACAAAACAAAAAATAGTGCTCATGGAGTAGATGTGATACTAGATAAAGGAAAAGATAGGGATTCTAGAAGTGATCAGATAATAGCTGTCAAAATAATCATCTAAACCGCAAGTCAGACGATGTCATTCTCCTGCTTAGAAATCCTCTTTCAGTGATTCCCTCTTTCTCTTAGGATACAATACAAATTTATTAGGCCTTCACAATCTGACTTTAGTTTAACTGCTCAGATTTATTTTGTATTACTCTTCTTTACATACTCTATGCTCCTGCCAAACCAGCCTACTTGCTATTCCCCCTTCTATGCCTTTGTATGGGCTGTCCTCCACATCTGAAATGTATTCTCTTCTCACCTCTACTTAGAATTTTTAGCTTCCTTCAAGGCTCAGGTGTTACCTCTTAATGGAAGTCTTTCCTGATCTACCTGGTTATTAGTGCTTCCCCCCTCTCCCCAAACAAATTATATTGTATTATTTTTTATTACTTTTCATTTTGTATCAGTGAGGAATTTAAATTCCTTAGGGGCAGAAATTTTTTTTTGTTTTTGTTATTGATCTCAGTACCTAGCACTGTGCTTCGTACAGAGGAGGCATTTATTAAAAGTTTGCTGAAATGACTCAGTAAGAAATAAATTCAAAAGGAAATTTAGATGGCACATTTATATCCATCAAGACCTGAGAATAAAAGTTCCTACAAAGAAGGAACTGTATTTATATCCATTCTGAAAAGAGCAGAGTACAGAATGTATATAAATATGAAAACAGCATTAACCATAGCCTGGGTGACCTGGTTCTGGTTCTGCTGCTAACTCTCTACATGATCTTGAGCAAATAACGCCAATTCTTTGGGCCTCAGTTTCTATGGATTAGACTAGATAACTCACTTCCTTCAGAGAACAGAATCTCAGGCAACAGAACATTCCTAACCTCCTTGTCCAGGTTTCACTGGCAGGCTCATCTCTGGTTTCTGGAGTCCTGCTAATGACACTGGGTTAATAGTAGATGAAGTGGAGAGTTCATTGGCAAGGGGCCCATCTCCTTCTCCGTCAATCTGCGTTCTTTCCATATGTTCTTTGTCACCATCTTCCATCGGTGGGTCCATCAGTACATCCTCTAGCTCTTTCTGCAGCTGCTGTTCACTTCCATTCCCTACAATCTAAGGGTCATAAACACACGCAATCAGCAAGGACAAAAGAAAGACCAGCAATGATTAAAATGGGGTCTATGCTTCAAATAAATCATCAGTCTTTCTTTTAATACAAAGATATCTTCCATTGCTTGTTAAAACAACAACAACAACAACAACAACAACAGAACAAATCAAGACTGGTAGTAAGTGGAGCTGCAGCTGCCTTCTTAATTCATACAATTCCCCTTCAATACTTGAAAATTTGTGATTTCACTTATGGGAACTCCTTTTAAGGAAACAAACTAACTTCTCATGTGTGTTTCATCTGTTGTTATTGCTTCCCTCTGTTCCCCCAACATATGAGAGGAGGAAAGTGATGACCTGTTGGGCAATTTTTCTGATGCTGAATCACTTCTTACTTAACTATGCCGGTTCTGGAATTAATTACAGAGAGTCTATGGCAATACTCATACACAAAGCCTTTTTAGTTTAGTGGGATCAGAGCATGAAGGTGTAACCCTGGAATCTCCAGCCTTAACCAGGGGAGCATAAGCTCTGGTAGATTCTATGCCAATCTGGAAAGGCTCTGAAAACAAATCCAGTAAAATGTCATTTGAGGACCCATCTAGCTAAGCCTAAAGATCTCTATAACCATCAGTATGACAACTAAGTATAGAATATTTCTAGCCATAGCAACTAATTCACATGGTCTAATGAGGCAGAAAGGGGCTGTGAAAAAGGTAACTACACCAATTAAATCATGTATCCTTGAGGTTTTGAAGTATATGAATGAATATGTGACATCCTACCAAAGTTGTCTTTTTGAATCCTTCGGTTTACTCAACTAGTGCCTACTGGCATTTTTGTATTTTTATATGCCCAGCAGGACAGGGCTTATAATGGAACATTAATTAGTGCCCTCTTATACTCTGAAAAATAAGTAACTATCAAACGTTTATGATCACTTATAAAAGCATTCCATTAGATCACTGTATATTTTATCACATCTATCTCAAGTAAAGGTCATTAGGTATTTTTGAGGAAACCTACTGCTATATGAGCAGGTGCCTATAACTTTGACACATTCAGACTATGAGTGGTAAAAAGACTAATGCAATACAGAATGAATTGAAGTCCCATTTCAGGAATAGTATTTCTTTTCTTGTCTTCAAAACAGCTTATTTCCAAGCACTAGATGATCATGAGCAAAGCAAAAAAGTACACGAGCAAGTGGTGCCTGGCTTGTAATAATGACAAATAAGCTTGACCTCATGTTTTTGCAACTTAGGGAAAGGCAATGTTAAAGAAAAAAAAACAAACCCAGAGACTGATTTGGGAGGCATCCCAAATAATGAATTAAATTAAACAAGTATTGATGGAGCAACTACTATGAGCAAAGCACTGTGCTAGGTGCAGTGGGGGAGAAGGGTAAAAAATCATAGCCTCAAACCTTACGCAACTTATAGCATAGTAGGAAAGATAATTATGCAAAAAAGTACTATACTAGGAGGAATGTAAAAATGCAATAAGCCAAGTACAAAGTCTTATGGCTGCTGTGAGGACAGTAAAATAACAGGACAAGAGGACTGAGAACTGGAAAACATCTTAAGACATCAATCAGTCTAACCCTTTTTACTTCACACATAAACAAGCCTAAGTCTAGGAGTGGGAAAATGACATGCCCAATGCAACATAACTAATAAAAGAATAGTTCCTATATTTGAACCCAGTGATCTTGCTATTATAACACACTGCAATTACACAAAAATTCAGAACAGAGGTGTGGCAGGATCAAAATTATACTTGAGAAGAACTAATCTATCAGGAATTTGCAGGTCAGACTGGAGTTCAGAGATACTGGAGTAAGTACCATCTTGGAAGCTACTCAACAGTCTAGTTGAGACCCAACTATATCCTGAAGCAGAATAGTGGAAATAGGGACTAGAGAAAAGGATATGGATGAGAGGGAGCAAGCTTAGACTTATGAAGTAAGGGAAGAAACAAAGATGACTGACTCTGAACATCTCTTTTATGTATATATGCCTCCTTTCTTCTCTGATACCACTATTATCCTGGTACAGGCACTTTTCACCTTGCAGTTGGACTACTGCAATAGCTGCTGGTTGGTTGCCCTAATTCAGGTCTGCCTCCACAGTCCAGTCCATCATCCACTTAACTAGGAAAGTAATCTTCCTAAAGTATAGCTCTCATCATGTCAACCCTCTATTTAATAAAATCCAGTGACTCCTTATTAACTCTGGGATAAAAAACAAAATCCTCTGTCTGCTTCTTAAAGTCCTTTATAACCTAGGCCAGGGGTGGGGAACCTGTGGCCTCCAGACCATGTGTCCTTCTAGGTCCTTGGGTGTGACCTTTTGACTGAATCCAAGTTTTACAGAACAAATTCTTTTATTAAGGGGATTTGTTGTGTGAAGTTTGGATTCGGTCAAAGGGCTGCACTTGAGGACCTAGAGAGCCACATGCGGCCTCGAGACCATAGGTTCCCCACCCCTGCTCTAGCCCTTTCCTACCTTTCCACTCTTCTTAAACCTTAGTCCTTTCCACAAACTCTTTGATCCAGTGACAATTCCTTGATGAGACATTTCATCTCCTGAAGGTGCATTTTTACTGACTGTTCCCTATGCTTGGAGTGCTATCTACCTTCAACTGCAGCTCTTTGCTTTCCTGACTTCCTTCAAGTCTCTACTAAAACCCCATCTTTCACAAGAAGCTTTTCCTGATTGCTCTTAATGCTAATGTCTTCCTCTGAGGTTACCTCCATTTTACTAAAGTTAGGAGGGAGGTGAGAAGCAAGGCGAAGGCTCGACAACTCATTAGGTGACTACTATGCTCAAGGTTCTATGCTCAGCACTAGAAATCTAAATGCAAAAATAAAACAGTTCCTGCCCTTACATTTTTTGGATGACAAAGTTTTATATATGTTGAGGTGCAGGTGTCAAGAGGATATTTAGGTAGATACAGGGATTTGCTTTTGGTTGCACAGCAAATCAGAGTTAGGATTCAGTTGGAAATGGTGGGTAAGAATTAAGGAAATTGTTTTTTTTTATAAGAGAATATGGGTGATTAATGGCAGAGTACTTTCAGTAGAGTTGGGAGGAAGAAAGAATGTTGTAAGGGCTTAAAGAGTGATACAGCAGTAAGGAAATGGAAGAAGAGAATGTAAAATATTCTTTTTTGGTAGAAAAGAGGAAGGAAACAACAGTACGTGACGGGACAGCAGGTGATGGGTAAGTTTTGTTTGTTTGTCTCTTTGGTTTTTGTTTTTTTGCTAGGCAATGGGGTTAAGTGACTTGCCCAGGGTCACACAGCTAGTAAGTGTTATGTGTATGAGGTGAGACTTGAACTGAGGTCCTCCTGATTCCAGGGTTGGTACTCTACTCACTGCGCCACCTAGCCATCCCGTGTTTGTCTCTTTAAAGGACAGGGGAGGTCTGAAAATATTTGAAGGTGGAAAAGGGTGGAAGATGCAAGAAAAGGGATAATTGATGGAACAAGGCCCTAGAAGAGGTAGGAGGACACAAGCTTAACATGGGGTTACAATGGGTAGTGCTGATATTTGGGAGAGAGAAAGAATATAAAGTTAGACCAAAAGGAATGAAGACCACCCAAGGTGGAAGAAAATATGGATGTTGGGAAGTTCAGAGCTAAAAACAAACAACAACAACCTACAGGTAATGGTGGCTTACTAGGAAATCTAGTATCAACATGTTTTATTATTTTAAATGTAAAACATGACAGAATATTCACGGGTCTCTGTAAATTGTGGTTGGAGGACTAAGACTCTGAATTTCCATCAAGGAATACCAATAAAACATCTTGATTACTGTTTCCCTTGAAATACATGCCAGGGAGGTGTCTTATCTTTTTATTTGAATCATACAATCATTGTCTATTCCTGTTCACTTTTATCTCAATTTTATTGTTTGGCTTAGTAATACCATTACTGAAGGAGCCTATATTGTTTTACCAACTACTAAAATGTTAACTGTCATGATACATATACTTCCAAATCACTTCTATGAAATGGTATCATTTTAACTTCCCTATTTTTTAAAAAAATATTTATTTTTATTTATTCTGAACTTAATAAAACAAGCATTTTTATAACAATGCAAAATAGGAAAAAAATAAATTTAAATATATGATAAAAATAACAAGTAACTTTCTTTTTTTCCCCCTTCCCTTCCCTGACCTAGAGATGGCTACCATTAGATACAAACATGTGCGAGTGTGCGTGTATGTATGTGAAATCATACTCTACATATTTCTATTTATCAGTTCTCTGGATGCTGACAGCATCTTCCTTCATAGGTCCCTTGTAGTTAATTTGAGTATTTATAATAGTCAAGATGACGTGATTGCTCAAAGTTGTTCTTCAAACAACATTGCTGTTGCTATATACAATGTTCTCTTGGTTCTTCTCATGTCATTCTTTATTGTTTTGTACAAGTCTTTCCATGTTTTTCTAAAATCATTGAACTCATCATTTCTTATAGCACAATAGTATTCCATTACATTCATATACCACAACTTGTTTAGCTATTCCCCAACTGACGGGTATCCCCACAATTTCCAGTTTTTTGCCACCACAAAGAGAAATGTATAAATATTTAAAACTGTGTTGTTTCTGGCAGGGGAAAGGGGAGAGGGAAGCGTGTTATAGATAACATTTTCAATGATATTCATTGTAAAAAAAAATCTGAAGATGCGCTATGTGAGGTCTAGGCAAGGAAAGTGCTACCAACTAAGGACATTAGGTGCTGTCACTTTGTTAGATTTTTAAAAGATGAATAAGAATTCAGTAAGCCAAGAAGGGAAAATTTTTCAGATACTTTCAGTAATTAATCCATATTTAAGTAATTAGTAATGAACCTAGGGACTGCCATTAAAGGAGAGAGCCTAATTGAAAAAAGCGTTTCACAAGTTGCAAAGCTTCCCTTTCTAAACATAGAAATAGTAAAGTAGCAAAAATAGACAATAGCAAATGCTACTGAATAGCTAGATTG